ACGACAAATTTAATTGTTGAATTCAAAAAGTTACAACGATGAAATCCTCAATATAATACAACACAAACATACAAATGGTAAGTGACAACAGCGATGCTGCAAAATAAGAAAGAAAAAAACACAATACATAAACAGTCCTCTAGAAGAAAGCAACAGGCCCGAAAGGAAAGGAAAAGAGTTGTGATAGTGCTGGAAGGTGTCGAGCAGCAGGTAGTTACGGCACTGGAGAGCATAGGAGTGATGGGGGACTACTAGGAGGGAGTAGGAGACGTGACAATAAATTAGACAGCAGCAGGAAGGGGCGACTGTAGCAGTAGGAAGGGACTCTGGAGGGGCTGACGATAGTAAGGACATGCCCTGGAAGGGCTGGTAGCTGCCGAAAAAGGCCTTGAAGGGGTTAATGACAGAAGAGACAAGCTTTGGAGGGGATGGTGACAGAAATAACAGGCTCTGGAGGGGCTAGCAGCAACAGGAAGGGTGGAACAAACAGAGATAATCACCGCCTTAAATGAGTTACACCCGAAGCACATTCTCACCGTCAGATACAGCTATTAAAAGAGGAAAACGCTGAAGGTAGAAATTTGAAATCAGAAATAAGCAGGAACTAAACCCTCGGCAAGCAATCAGCATATATAGATAATAGGAACTAGTAGTTAGAATACAAAGGAATTAGAATAGAAAGGCATAGAAAGGGCAAGGAAGAGAAATAGGAAAGGGATCAACCGATTTGGAAAGGGAGGATCCTCTCCCTTTGAGCGGCAAGTCCCCTAGGCTGGACTTCGGTACTGTAGCAGCTACGGTACCGCGTCCAAGGTAAGCTCCCACGTCATAGTGCTTACAGGGCAGCTGGGAAAAAGTTAATGGAGAAGAGAAAAAAAATGTACTGGATTCAATTTAGTGATAGCACTTTGAAGATACATACAATAATTTGTTATTAAAGTAATGGAGCTGACATATTCATCATTAGGTTTTGAGTGAAATTGGAGTACATATAATCAAATCCTTACAAATAGAAGAAATCATTTGAACTTAAGGATAAACTCATCGATTTATATTATATATAACAAAAGAATAAAGAGAGCAATTTTGAAGAAAAAGAATTCAATTATGAAGAAAATATCATACACCACAATGAATATGCTTTCAGATGATGAATGTTGTGTGAGTAACGATTACAAAATAAAACTATATAATTTGTAGAAAGAGGGTATCTGTGCTAACAATGTTAATAGGCATAGAAGCAAAGCCACCATAAGCTAGCCAAAAATAAACAATCAATCGATAAAAATTTATGTAGAAAAAAAAAATCTAACTATCCGCATAATCATTGTTTTAAATTTTCACTATTTTTTTAATTGACTGGTGTTGATTAGGGAAGAGGAACACATTTGAGATTGAAGATAAAGATGAATGAAATAACATAGATACAACTCAAGATAAGGAAGAGAAGAAAGCAATTTGTTATGAAAAAACAATATTAACATTTAATAAAAATTCTAATATTAACAAATTGTTATTTTCTAACTTAAGAACAATATGAGTGGTAGAAAGAGAGAGAGAGAGAGAGAGGTGAATTTATTTTGATTTTTATATATTTTATGTTTTGGTTGCTTGGGGTGATTACATACAGGGCACCCAAAACATTAGTATTTACAAATCAAGCACCCTCTTTCATCCATTTTTCAAATTCTCACTCAAATATCAAAGTTCACGATAAAATCTCTAATCATATTTTTCATTTTTATCAAATTCACAATAATTTGATCGTGGCACACGTACATATTTTTCATTTTTATCAAATTCACAATAATTTGATCATGGCATGCTTAAATACATCGGTTTAATGGTTCAATAAATTACCTAAGTGCTTGATTTGTAAATAGCAATGTTTCTTGTGCTATGTATATAGTTATCCCTTGGTATTTTCCATTGACATCTTAGCTTATTCTGATAGTTTAATGTTTATATAACCCTTCTTACTTTACAATTCAATGTTGGGATGTTAACATATTACTTATTCCTTTACATTTTTTTTCTTCTTTTTTTGTTAGCATACCGATATGCTACTATTTAAGGTGTTTATACATTATTTCTTTACATTTTATAATTTGTACAATATTTTTTCTTTACATAATTTTGTGAGTGTGAGGCTTACGCCTCAAAATAACTTGATCTGTAAGTCTCACCTTACGAACTAAAATTACCTCAATACCCTATTACGCAAATTTAAATCTTGACCAACCCATCCTGAAATAAACATGATTACCCAATTTGGACACAAGTAAAAAAAAATAACAATTATATTTTAATATGAGTTCTTTATTAGAAAAGAACTAAATAATTAGATCATTATTTTGAGTTGACCTGAATATGACTCAAAATGACCTAATTTTTTTTTTTCAATTCACTTAAGCTAATTTCAACTTAACTTGAATATTACACTGTTGAACCATACCCAAACTTCTTGTGTTAGGTCTCCAATATAAACATCCCTGTATTAGAAGGAAATTCCTTCTCATCCTCATTATTTTAAGCCACAAAATGGAAAAATAGTGGCTTCTATAAAATTGGTGTCACTAAGACTAGAGGATGGGGTGAATACTACTTGTCTTATCGAAAGCATCTTAGCAAGTTACGTCCAATAAGAATGGAGCTCCCTTTATAAGCTTGGGGAAGAGTTGATACATGCCCGATAGAATAAATGTGCACCTCCAAATGTAAGCGAGTCATATTCATAATAGCCTTGAATAATGAAGCCCCATGAGCATATTTGTGAGTCTCTAAAAAACTATCTTAAGATCATGAAAAAGTTTTAGATAGTATTGGCTGCTGCAATTAGATTATCAACGTGGCATTCTATAATCTAGGCTATAAGGTCATCAAAAATCTAATTCACTGTCTTGAAGGACATGCTTTTATCCTTCACTCTTCTTTTTTTAACTTTTTACCCATCCATGAACACGAACATGATATAGAATATAGTCAACCACGCCCGAGGCGAGCTTTCTTGGCATACTAGAAGTCAATGTGGATACAATTATAAACCTTGTTCTCCTTTAAAGGGGATAATATTCAAGATCCTATTGGCATATTTCTTATCACATATGACGCCAAATTCAGTTAGCTTCTTGGACATAGTAATGACATGTTACTTAATCTTGAGGCACATCCACCTCAGAGATTGCATAACTAGTATATGCTTCAGAAAACTACCCATATTTTGAAAATTAGTTAAACTATAGCGGGAAAGGCATAGATCTTGAAAATTGTTAGGAGTATATTATAGATTTTTTTTTTATCAAAAAAAGTTCAATAAGAACTTTCTTATAACAATCACGGTATGGCATATCTAGTTATGAAAACTAAGTTGTAGCCAAACAAAAAAAATTGTGACAACAGCCTATAAAATAAAAGTTTAAAAAAGATATCCTAAATTCACTCTCGGAGACTAGAAAAATACTTAATTTTCAATGGCAAATACTTTAAAACTCCTATCATTCAATAATTGAATGCAAGGCCAAGAGAAGTTGAGTTTTGGTTAAATAAAGTTATGATAGACCATCCTGAACTAGCTTTGTTAGTCATGTTCTTAATAGTACGGTAGTTAAGATTTAACCTATTTTTCCTTGGAAAAAAAAAGTTCAAGCATCACATTGAGAAAAAGAGAAGATTTTCTTTACCGAGAAAAAAGTATTTTTTTTATAAGGAATTTCTTCAAAAATGATATAAGAAGTGATCAAAAGAGTTAACAACTCAGACAACAGAATAAAAAATAAATGAAAAATGAGAATTCAAAACACTAATCTTAAATAATAGGTGATGAGGCTAATGTTAAAGATGAGGAGAAGATGGATGCCAAATAATAGGGGACGAAGATCTCGGTCTTGATCGATCCATTATTCTTCATGATAGGATATTAAATATACAACCCATTAGGAGGATTCAGCATGTAATAAATAAATGTCAAGTGTGTTTTAAGAATGGGAGAAGAGGAGGGCTGCAAAGGAAACGAGTCCAAGCTTAAGCAAGTTTATAAATTTGAGCTCAAGCCGAACACGAGCTCACATCAAGCTTTTGTGTTTATGTTCGAGCTTGGTTCATTGGTTATTCTGACTATTTGAGCTTGGTTTACATTCACTTCATATGATGATAATCGAGTCATTATCAAATAAATTAACAACTAGGTAATATTAAGCTACTTTATTTCTAACCAAATGATCTTTATTGAGCAAATAAAAATTAATACTATCGAGCTATTTATTTTCTAACCAAATGAGCTTATAAAGGAGTTACTTATTAAACTAACTAAAATAAATAAGTCTTTAAATGAAAGGGCTACTAAATGAATAATTTGCAAAATAAATGATCAACTAAACAACTAGACTTTACCTTATTTTATGTATTATAAATTAAAATTTTAATTTAATATAATATAAATGAGTTTTAAATTAAGTGTTAATTGAGTTTAATCACAAGCTTTAAATTAACTTTGACCGATCGTATTCACAAGCATTATATCAAACTTTAGTTGAACTTATTCACAAGCTCGTTCGTGATTTATAAATTAAATTGTTCATCAAGCATGTTAACAAGCTTATTCACAAGCATTAAATGATAATGTTCGTTAACATAAACAAATCGAAGAAATAATTATTCGAGCTTATTCATTTAGCAATCAAGTATTTATAAAAGTGTTCACAGTTATTCAAATAGTTAATTAAATGAGTGTGATTGAGCTTTTATCGAGTTGAGCTATGAGTATCTTATCCAACAGTCGGTTCGTTTGCAGCCCAAGAGATGAGGAAAAAACTCAGGTTAGTTGTTTCCATCCTTTGAATCATCTCTAAAAATTTATATTCAGGTGAAAAAAAAAATTGACGTGTTTGAGATACTTAAACAGTTGTATCACAATTGCAAATTTGTATTCATATTCAGAAAATTAGCATTTATCACAATAATATAAGAAAAAAAAATCCAGATGATATGATAAACAACAGCCATTAAAATGTGTTCTTAAGTTATCATTAAAGATTCATAAACATTGAAATTTACGTTAACATATATATAAAAAAAGTAAAAATAAGCCATTCCATTCAAAATTTTCAACAGAAGAATCAGTAGTAGTTAAGTAGACTTACTACCTATGAATTCTCCCCCAGCATCCCATGGGCGAGTTTTATAAGCCTTCCCAATGATGCTGCGCTTCTGGTTTATTGAACCGTCCTCGCAATGGTATTCAGGGAAATAATCTAAGAAACTCTTGGTTCCCAATGAATCAACGCCCTCAAATAGAAAATGCCTAATCATTTCCTGTAATTCATGAGAAACAAAAATGGGTGAACGAAAATGAATCACTGTTTAATAATTCCTCTGATTTGATGAAACATACCCTTGCCAGATTCTCTCCAATTAACCTTTTCAACAATAGATGTCCTGGATCCTGTGAAACAAAAAGTTGACAATTTTACTGAAAAACATCTGCTTCAAAGAAACCAAAATTGCATACATAAATAAATAAATAAGTCAAAATAATTTGGTATTGCTGAAGAGGATTAATGATAAGAGTAGTGTCTTGGTTCCCATATTTTTAATGAGATGCTTAAAACAATATGCATATCTTTTCCTATTTTATTTAAAGGTTTTCACAAATAACACTATTTAAGTTTAATGAAAAAGCATCGAGGCCAAAATGAAGCAAAAATAAAATAGCATAAACAGATAGTGAGAGAAGAAAAAGGAGGTAGAAGTGCATTGGGCAGACAGGAGTAATCGAAAAGAACCTTCCCTGCTCTCCATGTTAAGTATTTATGCTGCGCTTCACAATTACAAACAGTTTGCAATTCATCTACCGCCTCCACTGCCAGTTCCATCAAAACAAGCCATGCCTGCATAGATTAGTTATTAGCTTTGTAATAGCAGCGTATGTATTCAAACTTATTATGCATGCTTTGTAAGGAAAGAAAACCCAAAATCTATTAAAACTAGAAAATAGCATGGGAGGATATTCCAGTTTAACATAATAAAAAAAAAAAATTGCATGTATTAAATATTGACAAAAATAGCAAACTTTTTAATCATAATTATCATCATCATCTTAGTAAATTATGGGATGGGCGTTAAATGAACATTAAAACATGCATGTTATACTAAGTATTTTAATTCAAAATGAAAAATACGTATAATTTAGATAAATTTTTAATTATTATATTTTTTTATTTAGAATTCATCCTTGGCTTGTCAAAGTGTGAAATGAAAAAGTGGCCTTCTTGTACTGCAATGGTAGAATGCATAAAATAAGCGTACTATATTTTTTAAAATTACAACTAATGTATTTTTCCATATTTCTTGACAGATAGGAACAACAAAAAGTTTCTGAATAATTCATGAATACCAATATTATATAAGTATCACATACAATTTAATTACTAATACCATCATCACCATCATCATCACGAGTCATATATCAACTATGTGAGATCAACTTCATAAATCCTGATTTCCCTCTTTTTCTGGTTGTTTTTACTTCTATGTTTTGAACCTTAATTGAGTAAACTATTTTGAACAATTTCTATTGATGTTAACCCTTTCCCTTTCTGATCCTTTATAGTAATTTTATGCACCTGTCTAAAAAATTTTCTGCCCTTCATTGTAATGTCCAAACCACCATAGTATACTTTCCAACTATGTTATCTTCAATAGATGCTGCTCTAAACATTCGTCTGCTACAGTCCTGTTCCAAAAGTATACAATATTTCAAATAGACTAAAATCCCAGTGCATATAAGTCATGCATATCCGACGTTAGCCATTAATTATCAAAACAAATTCTCCCTAAATCTTACAGTGCTCTAGCAAAGGTAATCACCTTATTTGGTTAGATTAAATTAAAATGGTGCAAACGTGTTTTTTGAGGATGGGCAAAAAAGAATCATGTAATGGGTGGTAACAAGGTGTAAAACCTTTTATGGTTGTATCCTTTAATAAATATACCTAAATGATAAAAAATGTACCTTAAAATAGTCCTTGAATGCTGCATATAAGACATCATGCTTCTCCGGGCTCAAACTGAACTTAGACCATATGACAATGGGCGAAAAAAATCTAAGGGACTCACTTGTGATCTTGTCTCCCCATGGCAAAAGCTGTAAGGTTATTACTTTTAACTCCACAGTATTTTAACTATCATAAAATTAGCATAGATCTAATAGATAAAGAATATGTGAATGTGTTATATATAATAACAGATCAAAAAGTACCTCAGCATATTTCTGATAAAGGGGCATCAAGCCCCTATAAAACTTTTCCTTGTAATCACTTTGGAGGGTGACATCATACAAAGGGTTAAGGTCCCTAGAAATAATGAATTTAACACTAAGCTGCAGACTTTTCTAGTATTTTTATAAAATCACAAACATAAACAACTATGACAAATAAATAATCTTAAACTTTTATCCTCAACGACTAGAAACATTGAATCTTCCTAATAATTGAAAATACAAGAAACCTCAACTTGAAGAATTTGTATTGTATTCATAAATAAAACAAAGAAAAGAAATATTATTCATTTCATCAATGGGACACCTAACTAAGAGCACATTTGGCGCCGTGTTTTTCGCGCGGCACGGCCCAGCGGCCATTTTATAAAATTTCGATAAAACGCGGGCAGCGGGTTGGACATCGCGGCCCATGTTTCGCATTATCTTTCGTTCGGCTTTTACTGTCTTACCCCCTCCCTCCCTTCTCTCACGATTATGCCCTAAAGGTAAGATCCCCGCTCGCCTCCTCTCCGATCCGTGGTTCCATTCGCAAGGCTTTGCCTATATTGGTGGTTGCTTCTCTCCCTATCCCCTCTATTCTTCGGCTTTGATTGGTTCCTTTGCTCTCCCTCGACCCACGGTAGTCTCTACCACTATATTTTCTGGCATTTTAATTTTGCGATGGTTTTAGCTTCTCTAAGCTCTATTCAGTCGATGATTTTCAGGTGGTTGTGCATTGTTGTTGGATTTTGCAATTTTCACAATTTTCGTTTTTGCAATTCCTACGATTTTGCATTGGTGTTGGATTTTCTTTATTGTTGGTGGGGTGATAGCCTTTACTATGGATTTGGTAAAGACATTACTTGTAATGCGATGTTGTTGGTTACTGATATGATGCTTCAGCTGGTTGGGAAGGCAGTGGGGGATTTTGGAAGTTCTCTGGTTTTGGTTTTTTGCAATTCCCTTGGTTGAGTGATGTGGTGATGGCTTGTTCTATGAATTTGGTGAGAGGATTACTTGTGTTGTGTTACTGGTTTTGTGATTTTGTTAAAAACACCAATGGTGAAGTGATTTTATGGTTACTGTGATGATTAGTTGTGGTGGTTACTGGTGGGTTGGCCGAATTTTAGTGGTTGTGGATTGTTGGTGGGTTGGCCGAATTTTAGTGGTTGTGGATTGTTGGTGGTGGTTGCTGTGAAATTTTGTTCAATGTAGGTGCTAGTGGTGGTGGATTGTTGGGGTGATTGTGGTTGTGAGTAGAGGCTATGGTTGTTGTTGTGGTGGTTGTGATTGTGGTGATTGTGGTTGTGGTTTGTGGTTTTGTGGTTGTGTTGGTTCTGTGTGATTCGTGGTTGGGTGTGGTTGTGGTTATGTGTGAAGGTGTTGGAGTTGTTCTGTGTGGAGGTGTTGGAATTGTTCTGTGTGGAGGCGTTTGTGTGTGGGGTTGTGTGGTTTTGTGTGTTTTGTGGTTTGTGTGGAGATGTTGGAGTGGAGTTATGGGGAGGTGTGGTTTGTCGACGCCGAGCAAGCAACTGGCTCCGGTGAAGGCCCAAGCCCAAACCAAAATGAAGTGGAGTACACATGTAGGTCAAAGAGCCCAAGGGTGGAGAAAAAGAAAATGAAGCTGCTTTCATTAGAAGTCAAATATCAAAACTGGTGGCTTCATGAACCAGTGAGAGATTTCACATGCGACCTCCATCAACGAGTTTATCCGAGTTTATCCGAGTACTGGAGGCAACTCCAAAAGTTTATGAGGACATGTCGTTATAGTTGAATTCCTTGAAGTTGCTGAAGGACCCAACCCGTAGACAGTTCTTCATGAAGATGACCCCTAACCATAGGATCAATTATTTACATTTTTTTTTTGTGAGAGTGATAAGGATTGATTTTATCCAGTTATCGTTGTACTATTTGAATTTATTTCCTATAGGTTTATCTGATTTCTAATTTGGATGCTTTTTCCTTCTCCTAGAAACAATCTTTATGCTATATTGGATTTTTGTCTTTTTATCGTACATTTTGTGATTCGATATTCGAAGTTTATTAACATTCTTAGATTCACATGTATTACCTGAACAGAGCACTTGTTTAACATAGATTCACAAAAAGTGAGACGCTAAAGGAAAATTGTGGCAGTAGTATGTTTGATGTACGAATACGATAACTCATAAGTTGATCGATCTGTCTGCATGACATCATCTTATATTGGTGATAAATGGGTTGGGTAGCTACTTGAAAAACACCCTACAAAATTCAGCAAGTTTTGAATGACATAACCCATATTTATAGGTCTATTGGATGAATTATATAGGAATCATAGATTTCACGGCTCCTCAAGGATGACAATCAAAGAGGTGTTAGCAATAATTCTCTACATTTTATCACAGAATGAATCAATGAGAGCAATAGAGGGTTTTCAATATTCATCGGAAACAATGAGCGGTTACTTTTTAGTGGGATTGAAGGCTCTTGTTAGTTTATCGTCAAAGATTATTAAGCCAGAGAATCCAATATTTGAGAGAACTCCAACAAAGATTGCAATTGACTCGCATTATATGTCATTTTTTAAGATAAATTATTTTACTCATTATATTCAGAAGCCAAAATGAATAGTGTAATTAACACAGTCTTATTTAATTTGTTAGAATTGTATTAGAGCGATCGATGGAACACATGTGGATACACGTGTATTCAATAATAAAAAGGTCGCATTCATTCGGCGGTGTAGATTACCAACACAAGATGTGATGGTCGTATGTAATTTCAACATGTACTTTATTTTTGTTATAGCTGGTTGGGCAGGCGGTGCACATAACACTCGCATATTCGCTTTTGCGACAAGAAATAGAAAGGCTAACTTCTCTCACCCACCTCCAGATTTGTTCAACTATTAATCATGTTCAAATATTTTTTATTGTATTTGAGACAGATAAATATTATTTGGTCGATGTTGAATCTTTTACAGAGAAAGTATCTGAAGTCATTTTCGGATATCAAATATCACATTCCCGATTTTGAAAGATCCAGCAATATTGTTTGGGGCATGAAAGAAATGTTTAACAAGAGACACTCATTTATACGCGGTGTAATTGAAAGAGCATTTGAAGTGTGGAAGAAAAAATAAGTTATACTACGTGATATGCTGACATATTCATTCCAAAGCAGGTACAAATTATAGTGGCCACAATGGTTCTCCACAACTATATTCGACGGCATCATTCGCGAACTGATGTAGACTTCAGCATGGCTAATAATGATCATTTACACGTCCTGCCTGAAGCATTAGAATATCACATAAGACAATCTATACCACAGGCAGAAATAGAATCACAAGGTTGCACCCAGGATGGCGAAGGTACTGGGGTAATGGTTGAATTGACAGAGCGGATTACAGACGTCATAGTTGGATGCTAAATGGACTGATTCTTGTTTATTTTAACAGTTCATGTTTTTTTTCGTTCCTGTTATATTTCATATTGATTGTTTGAGTTTTTTATGTTGTTTGTAAGTGTTTTCTTTTCTTTTTTCATTTCATTTCTTTTTCTTTAGATGGGTTTGAGAAATTCATGATGAGACGTTTGAGCTTAGAGGTACTTCTAAATGGTTTGTTGGACGCTGTTGGTCGGTGTCACATGTGAAATATTAATGAAGAAAACCAAATTCCTCTCTTCTATTCAATTTTGCAGTTTTTAAGGTTCTTCTAGAAGACCTTTTTTGGTGATATGCATATGTCGTGGGTTAAAAGGAAACCAACAACCCATTTTTTATAAGGTCTCATGTCTTCTTATAGTGGCAGATTTGTCGACTATTACACTGAGTACTCTAAGACCTCACATCTGCACAAAATTGTAATTAATTACTCCCTTTATCAAGTTATATTTGTGTTATGACTAATGGATTGTCTTTTAAAGTATTTAGGAAAAATGAGCTCTAGGATTTCAGAGATCTCCCGAAGCGTGTTATGCCACTACGAACTTCAGAGTTCCTTGCTGACGTTACGTCAGCCACATAGCTACGAGAGAGTTCTACAAGTGCCCGTAGAGAAACACGAAGAATTGTGACTTCTTTCGGTGGGCAAATAGGCTAGAAGATTCCACCGCCGAGAGTAACCGGGCGTGCAGAGTATCCCTGGAGGACATACGTCGTCTATATTTTAAAATAATATTATCATATTATTAAATGTTATTTTAATAGTTTTTTTTATTTTAATAATCATGATATTCACTGTTAAGTGAGGTGTATATCTTATTTTTTATACTGTTTTGAAGTGATTTTTTGCTTCTCAAGTATCAAATATATTGTTATGATAGTTTTGTTGCAAACAACATTAATGCACAGGAGCAGAATGGTCATTTGTCCAAAAATAACTGCAAAATAGTTATTTTCAAAGTGCAAAAAACAAACAAACAGCTAGTTTATTCGCAGTAGCTTCTGTGCAGCAATTTTTTGGGGCAGTTGTTGTGCAACAGCTTATTAATAAGCTGCAGCTGTCCCAAATAGACCCTAAATCAAAAACTCATCAAAAATTCAATGGCGGGTATAAATTGGTTTGAAAACAAAATTGTTTCAAAATTTTCATGCCATGTCACCTTTTTTTTCGCTGACACAAAATTGCATCTTCCCAACGATAAAATTATCACAAATGAAAGCCAACTCCTCTCATCTCTTTTGAAGGTGCTACTCTTAACTCTTTCTCATTGGGTTAATCCTCACCCATTACCAATTCCTCATCCACAAGCTTTTCATTACATTTCCTGTAGTAGTTCCAATTCATCTGTTGCAGCTACTACCTTAATTTCAACTATAATTCCACCATTCAATTAAAGTGGACCAAAAAGAATTCTATTTCTCCAAGATTCCACCACATTTGCAAACTCTAATGATTAAATGGTTAGTCATCACATAGTTCATCTACAATTAATTGGAGCATATTTGAATATGAATGCATAAATGTGAAAGTGTAAATCAATTAAATGAAACTTGATAGCTTAAAAAACATTTTTTTTTTTATTTCGTGTTGCAAGTTCATGGCAAAAGTAAGACAGATCATGTACGCCTGAAGGATTGATTGTAATTGGCTCCAATACTTTCTAAATGAGATATACCTCGGTCAAAGCTGGAAAGAGCCCCATGTTATGTAACTAGAATTATTATTGAATATTATTAAACTTTGCTTGTGCAAATATTATGTGGAAAAGTTTAATAGATGTTCCATGTCTTAGTGAAGCTAGGTGGTTGATCCCATAGTAGGTTTTGGTGATTCCAAATTTATCAAAACAACCTCTCTTCCTACCCTCTTCTCTCCACATCAAATCTCCTACCACAAGCTAGTCTCAGCCACCCTCACAACCCCTAAACTTCAATAACCTGTAGGACCATCTAACACCTCTTTCTCTTCCCTCTACATCACCCACACATGCCACAAACTCCCCAAAAGCATTAAAGACCAAAATCAAGCATCCATTACAAAAAACAATTCTTGCCACCAATCCGCTGTGATAAATCAGCTCAAAAAATTCATAACTCTCTAAACACTCATTTACATACCTTAAAAACACCTTCATTAATTCACTCACATCTCAAAATTCAAATCTAATGTTCTTCACCGCTCCTCTCTAAATATCAACTAACCTTACATGGTAAGAAATTCCAACTCAAAATCAATCTAGAAAACCGAGTCACTCTCCTTTACCTAAAAAATACTTTTAGAACCACCCACAGAACCAACTAACCAAGTTGCTGCTTTCACCACCAAGGTCCGCTTGCCAACATCAAGTGGTGTAACTTCAACATATAAGATAGATCTAATGAAAAAAAAAAAGCTAATGTTTATCTAGGAAAAAAGAAAATGTTTATCTAGGCCAAGTTTGTAGATAAACATGAAAATGAGATGGCTGATGAATAACATTATATTTTAAGAGATGATAAAGAAAAAAGTGGCGGAACTATTTGGTTTAAAATGATGATGATTCTTAAAATGACTTGTTTAATTTTCCAGCAAAATAAAACTTGTAAACAACCTAGTTCAATGTTTTGAGCATAATGTCACCTCCCAAAAGAGCTCTTATGGGTGGTAGGCAGCCCAGGACTTAAATACTGCTTTTCGGCTCTACACCTAGCCAATGTGAGACTATTTGTCCATGACATTCTCCTCCACCCAAGCACGTGACACCCTCGTCACGGATCGGCTCCACCGCGACTCCACCGAAGGTCCTACTGGACCATGGAGAGTCCACACACCTGGCAGACAGTAGTCTGCTCTGATATCACTTGTCACCTCCCAAAAGAGCACTTATGGGTGGTGGGCGGCCCAGGACTTAAATACTGTTTTTTGGCCCTACACCTAGCCGATGTGAGACTATTTGCCCATGATAATAAGCTCTAACGTTTAAGACTGACCTGATATTATAATTGATAAAATCAAAATAATTTTATTTTTCAGATATTATTATTGCCGTAGCCATGAAAGTTCATTTCTCAATCTAATTATATTTTGTTAACCACAAATATGTAATCTTATATTTTATTTAGATGGCATGGATTATTTTTTTGCGCAGAGGATATTTGGTCTCAGCTCCCTTGCATTGTTCAATTATTGATAAATCACTTTAGTTTTTTTTAATAATAGATACAATTTTGAAAATAGCATGTGCAACACGATGTGCTATTCAATTAGGAAACTCTATAGCGCGTTATACACTAAATGGCATTGACTATTATTTTGTTTTTAGGATAATTGCTCTCAGATTGCTTGATTGTTGAATTATTATTAAAATATTTCTTTTTTTAATTGGTACTATTACGAAAATAGCATGTGCAACACAATGTGTTATGCAATATGGCTTTAAGAAACTCTGTCGTTGTAATGTATTATACACTACTGACAAATAGCGATTATAGATTCAAACATTTCTAAGGCTTCACAAGGCTCATTTTGCATTGTCTCATCAAATACTTTCCTAATGATGTGGCATAACACGTAAAAATAAACAAACATAGCTGAAACCTTACTTCTTCTACATTTATAGATGCTTCAATATTATTTCTTTTTTCAGAATTTTATTCTTAATTACCATCCCTCAAGAAATTATGACTACAAAAATGTTGAAAAAGCACCTAAATATATTTACACAACCATTTCTATTAGAAATGCATAAAAATGCATACAAGTAGTTTAATAGAGTACACGACAATATGCATATAGCCCGATGCATGAAAATATAGAATAATAAATAACAATACATTTCATATTCTTCCAAATAACTGAAATATATATATTATCAGTTTGGATAATGATAAAATGCAACGCTAACGGAGTAACTATGCTCAACTTAGGAATCCCTAACTCATCCAAAAAAAGAAAAAAAGAAAAAAATCAGGTCATATACTAGTATTCCAGCTTAAAATTGACTTTTCTCTAAGAATCATTCTTCAATATAATGGTAGCCCATGAACAACTGATTTTTTTATGGTGGTAATATCATGACATAAACCATAAATATAAGAAAAAAATTAAAAATTAAAAAAAAAGCTCAAAGCACTTGAAAATTATATAAATCCAACGTTTATTAGCTAAAAATTGTTGAGATCATGCAAAGATAGACAATTAATGACAGATGAAGATGAGCAATAGGTTTTTTTCCCCTCCACCACACAAAAAATTGATCCAAAAAGTAGAGGCAGCAGCGATGACAAAAATAACTGTGGGGCAAGGAGCGATTTGACAAAAAGCATGAGGAAAGAAACCCTTCATATGTGAGTTTTCAGCCGATGGGAAGAAGTGTTGGAGTAGCAACATCATAAAAAATTAGATTAGGAAGTCAATGATGATGACTGCAAGGCAGAAGAGTTTAGGGAAGAAGATATGAAGTGGTCAGAAAAATTATCAATTTTATTTTTGTTTTTGATTAAATCGTGGGTTGGATATTTGATTAAAGTAAGCAACTTACAAATGGTGGCCCAATGTGTTGATTGTACTCCTAAAATAATATATGTCACACATACATTGCATCTTGTTTAAAGTGGAGCTTCAACATACTAAGGCTAAGAAATGGTATCCTCCAGAGACATGTCGATGTAACATAATTTGAAGGTAAATGAGAATGAGTTCGTAAAAGTACAAAAAGAATTCCGACATGTCTACAAAACTCAATGATAATAACATAAATGCTTTATTTTGGTTTAGTGTAACTTACAGTACAATAATACTGAGAGCAGAGGTTGTAAAAAAGTTGGCACAAAAAATCGGAATATCAAATTTTGGTTCAGGAAATGCTGCAAAATCGAGCACCTGCAATGAACAAAAATGTATAAACTTAAAAAATTCATCAAATCATGGAAATATGAATACATCATACTTACTAAAACAAGCCTTACATTTGTCCTATGGAAAAAAAAAGACAGCTGTGAAAAGAAAGAAATGATGCAATATGGCCATGAAGCCGTACAAGGATTCATAAAACCAGTACAGTTTAAAAATGATGCTTTAGCCGACCTAAAATTGATCAAGACACAGAAGGCTAGTGCCCTGCTTAGTGCGCTCTGAATGCGTGTAAACCTCTCAATTATGTCATATCCATTAAATGCTATTTTTTTACAGTAAATTAAAATGAATGCTAAAAGCTGGACAAAACCCTAGTAATTTAATTAACTATATAACTGGCAAATGCTGATGCATGTTGACATTTTCTTTCGTAATTTGAAATTCAAAGTGGGAAAAGAAGTTCCCATACAGTTAGCTAGCAATTGATTGGCATTCATAAAGGAGACAAAGAGGTTCAATTTTCATCCTACCTACTTCTTAAGTCCGTTATATGGTTGAGAACTGGTGAAGTGCAAAAAAAAAAAAAAATACAGGTTTGTTGTGTGCCCGAATATTCGCAGCAATAGAGTGATAATTTAGAGTCTCACCATTATATAAAAATCCATTGCACACACTTATATGACTGAAAAGTAGCAAGAAATGACCCAGATATTTTTATTTTGAAAAACCTGAAAAGAAAAAATATCATGAGGCACAGCCCAAATAAAGTATTTAAATATAAATGTGTAAATAAAAAGATACACTCTTGTCCCACAATTGAAAATGAAGGATTACAACGTTACAACAAGTAAAACACTTGTCTGTGCATAATGTACAAAACCCTGCAGAACTAAAAAGTAAGTCATTGTATTCTGAGTACGAAGGTTGAAAGCAGGCATCATTGGAAGTTATCACCGGATCTTCAATACGACATTATTTGATACTCTATAAGCAGGATACTTCATAATACGATATTCAGCATACTTCATAGCACCGTATTCTAGGATATGACGTTACGCAATAGGTTTGCCAATAACAGTGAGCAGGGGGCAGCCAACAATGGTTGATGGCAGTCAGCGGTGGTTAAAGACAATCGGCAGTGGTTGACAACAGTCAGCAGGTAATGGTTGATGGTGTCGACAACTATAAGGGCAAGAAATCATGGTCAGGTCTTTAGTCTAGAATAACACTTGAATATAACTCATTTTTTCCTCCTAAGTGAAGAAAGGGATTCTATTTATAGCCTCTAAGGTAAGAGTATTTTGGTCATTTTGGCAAATAACTATCATAATCTCTTGATCGAGAGCCCAAATTGATCCCCTTGATTATCAAAGATTTTTTTATGATTTGATACCTTTAATTATCACATAATTAACTGATTTTAGGCTTGTTGTATTCCTCTAGTCAAGACGATCAAATTAACTATAAACTTGTTAAAATTAGGCTCTAGATGATCTTGAATTTAAATTTTGATGTTATTGCTCAAAAAATGCATCGAGATTCATGTTAGATGAAAAATTTATTAATGACGCATCAGTTGTCTTCCTATCTTCGAACATTAGTGTTTATATTGTTCGAAAATATAAGTTGTTGCGAAAGTCTTCAACATTATTTCAAATCCCCAAAAAACTCACTCTGAATTGAAATAAGAAATCTCTGATATTGATGTTTCGTGAATCTTCAAAAATGATAAAATTGAATCCAGAATGTCGAAATATTGCAAAGTAAACATTTTTGAAAAGATACTCGATTAGGTTGTTAGTGGTAGTGTTGGTGGGGCCGGGACAATAGTGACTCGGTGTTTGGCACATAGGCATGCATACCTAGACGCGAATGTGTGTGTGAACAAATAAGCATAAATATGTGTTAAAGATGTAATGGGTCCACGGGCAAGCACGAATTTGAGCAAGGTCACAGCAGCATGTTAGGGGCGAGCATGCCAA